TATCAGTGATAAGTTATAGATCAGATTACTGTTATAGTTGATCAGTGATTATCAGTTATAGTTGATTATCAGTGTTTGTTGATGGCCTAAAAGTATTATTCCAATTACTTTAAAAAGATTGCATTCATTTACCTTTATAATTATTCATAATTATATGTTAATGCTCAAATAATTGCAAGATTTGCATTCTAAATTTGCTGTTGAAAATTTTCATACTCAGAAGTTTCACGTGGATAAAAATTCAAATTTTTAAGGTGCTGGTGAATCTGGCAAATCAACTATTGTTAAGCAAATGAAGTATGTCATGTTGAATTTTTATTTACTCACAAAATTAAATGAATATCTGTTATTACTTTTAGAAGCTATAATTTTTGTTTTTTCTGTTAAAATTAAGTTAAAATTTTAGGTAACTGCGTGCGCAAATAAGTAAATCATATTTTTACTTCTTGAAGTATTTTTTCTAACTTATTGCATTGCTGAAAAGCAGTTAAATTAATTAAATAGCAAAAATTTTGTAATTGATAAAAAATACTGATCAACTCCAATCAGATAACTTTAAATTGAATATCTAAATTGAATTCAAATTCTTCCTTTGGTTATTTACCATTACAGAATTATACATGAATCAGGCTTCACAGCTGAAGATTATAAGCAGTATAAACCAGTAGTATACAGTAATACAGTACAATCACTTGTTGCAATACTTCGTGCTATGGGTAATTTAGCAGTCTCATTTGGTGACTGTAATCGAGAGGTAAACGTTTCATGCATTTACTCTAACAGTAATAATTATTTTTATTATACGAAATTGTAATGTAGATCGTCTCCATACAACCGTATTCATATATTTCTACAACTTTTTTAATACAATCAATTTAATTGTTAAAATTTGTGAGCAAAAAAAAGTTATGTATTCGTTTGAATTCATTAATTGAATCATAACAAAGTTTAATCTATTTATAATTAAGTGATTGTTTTGTTTATCGATTGGTGGATTAATAATCAGTTATCAGAATGAAAAAAGTGATTAGTACAATTTGTATTCAGTCTGACGCAAAATTGGTAATGGATGTTATGGTAAGGATGGAAGATACCGAACCTTTTAGTGATGACTTACTATCTGCAATGAAACGTCTCTGGTCAGATGATGGTGTACAAGACTGTTTCTCTCGTTCTAATGAATATCAGCTTAATGATTCTGCTAAATAGTAAGTTATTTTGAACACGTAATTGCATGCTTAAAACAATGTGTCAAATCAGTGGAAAATGACTGAATATGACTACAGAGTATAATAGATCTTCAAGCATAAATTCATTTAATTATTTTGAATATTTTTAAATTTATGGTAGGTACTAAAAAGCTTATTCAGGCTTATTTTTAGAGTATTTTGCATTCGATAAGGTTTGTAACTAAACAGAAATGCAACAAGCAAAATCAAAAAGTGATAGTATTATCAAATTACTTGAAATGCAATGATCTATAAATGTTAAATATTGTTTTGTTTTGATTTCTTATGTAATTGAAAAGTAATATATGCCATTATAAATTAATAATTATAATTATATACGTTGATTGAAAAATTTGTAGGATTTTTCATGACCAAAATGAGATAGATATGTAGCGCAATTATTTTAATCTAATTAACTTGTGTTGTTTACTTTGATAGCTTTTTTCTTCTTACTGAAAATATTTCTGAGTACATTTTCATGTATGAAAAATGATAGCAATTATTGTTATCATTGATAAAATAACTGGTAGGGAAAAGAAGGGATATTGTAGTTTTTTGGATGATTTGGATCGATTAGGACAAGGAAATTATCAGCCAACAGAACAAGACATCCTACGAACTCGAGTGAAAACTACTGGTATCGTTGAGGTGCATTTCACTTTCAAGAACCTCAATTTCAAGTTTGTATTTTAATCATTATAAAAAAATTATTTGCGCTTTTTGATATGTACTGACCAATGCAAAAAATCATTTTCTACTGTTTAATTTTCTTGTAAAAAGTACGTTTGACAGAGTATAAGGATTTGAGATATACCTAACATATTTGCTAGATATTCATAATTTTGGAGAATATATGTATGCATAACACATTTTTTCAATTTATGACTTTTTCAGCAATCAGCAGCACATACTATATCATACAATTTTATTATTGCAACCAGTAAATTTGCTCAATAAAATTGCTTAAATAAATTTATGTTAGATTATTTGACGTTGGTGGCCAACGGTCAGAGCGAAAAAAGTGGATTCATTGTTTTGAAGATGTAACAGCGATTATTTTTTGCGTTGCGATGTCAGAATATGATCAAGTCCTTCATGAAGATGAAACAACAGTAAGCTTTCTGAAAATTGTTGCAACGTATATACGAAAAAGTTTGTAACCAAATTTTGTCTGCTAGCATTTGCATTTTTAGCAACTTCGAAAATACATAGAATGTACAGTGAATATTTGAATTTTTTTTTTTTGATTTGTTTCGTCTTGCAAGTAGAGAATTTCCATTGCTAATCATTGATAGCATTTAAGCCCTCATGAAGATTAATTTTTTGAGTGATTTTTTTGTTTTGTTTTTGAAAAGTTTTCCTAAAATCATTTTAATCTTTTTTTACTTTTGATGAATACATGGTACTTGCTTGATTTAAAAGTAAGCCAAATGTATTTAATGTAATGATAAATTGCGCAAGGATGAATGAATTGTCATTTACACGCGAAAAAATGAAAATAAAAGCAATTTTGTTGTGAAGTGGAAAATTTTTTAGCACTGATTGTTTTTGGAAAGCAAAAGTTTTAGTCAAAAACTAAACTTTGAAATTATAGAATTAAAATGCGAAAAACTTATCTAAAATGAAAAAAAGCATTGATTTCGAGTTATTTTTTCGTTTTTCAAAGTACTGCTAAATGTTTACGCATATTTTAAACTTTTACTAAGATTAATTTTTGAAGTTTTAATGAAAAATAATAAAACAGAAACAAAAATACTATACGCTACCTGACGTTTATCTTTTAGCGATTATGATTTCTTCTTGATTTGAAATTGGGCTAAATGAATTTAATCTATTAATGACTATTAAATTTATTCAAATTTGATGTTCTCATATAATATTCTCACGTATTTTTGGATTAATTAGTTGATGATTGTTGTAAAATTTAAATAATAGTAGAGTCTTATATAGACTCTACTAATATTTAAATTTTTATAATGATTAAAAAATATGGATTATCATATAAGCGTAGTTATTATGCTGATTAGCAGTATAGAAAGAAAATTCTCACTTTTAAACATTTTTTGATCAAATACTCGTCAATGGCAAAAAAAAATGAATAAATGGCTGGACAATTCACTAGAGTAGCAATTTTTTGTTCACAGAATCGCATGCATGAATCGCTAAAATTGTTCGATTCAATATGCAACAACAAATGGTTCACGGATACATCAATTATTTTATTCCTCAACAAAAAAGATTTATTCGAGGAAAAAATCAAAAAATCCCCACTGACAATATGCTTTCCTGAATATTCTGGTAATTATTAATATTTTATATTTCTCTTTTACCACATAAAGTTTCTCATAAAATATTCTTAAAGATCATTGTTCTATTTCAGTGGATAAAAATTTCTGATAAAACAGTGTTAGTAATTGATAAAATATAATTATGATATTATTAATAATTATGCACACTATTAGACAGATATAAAATTAAGACTGAAAGATTTTGAGAGAAGAAAATGCTTGATATTAATATGATAGATTATTATATTATTCTTTAATTAATTCAAACTTTGTTGGTACTTTTTATTCTATAAAGTTTTTAGCTAAAATTCATCTCAGATCATTTTTAATTTGATTTCTTAGTAAAAGCTTTTTTTTTAAAAGCATTCAATTTTGTAAATTAGTGCTTTTTTAGCGGTAAACATTTTTTCAGCTGTCGTATAACTGTGAGTTTTATTTTGTATAGTATTGCATATTTCTGAAACGATTGCTTTCTTTTAGAAGTAAAAGTTGGAAAAAATTTTTGAATTTATAGCTTTTCATTCAAATTTATTGCATAAATTTTACATAAAAAGGTAGCTTTCAGGTCGGCAAGATTATCACGAGGCCAGTGCATACATTCAGGCTCAATTTGAAGCTAAAAATAAATCAGCTAATAAAGAAATTTACTGTCATATGACTTGTGCAACCGATACAACCAATATTCAATTCGTATTCGATGCTGTCACAGACGTCATCATTGCCAATAACTTAAGGGGTTGTGGTCTTTATTAAAAATTAATTTCTAACGTAATACTTTTCTCTCAATTTTACGCAAGTTAGAATTTTAATTATAAAGTAATAATATTATTTAGAATGTTAACTAAGTGATTATTTTAGTATTTTATTAATTGCGTCACTTGTTGTTTTTATTTCATCTTTTTTGATGGAACTTTCATTTAGTGCATTTGTTTTTTTATGCATTTTAAGAAGCTTTTATGACAAATAAGTTATTTTTAACAATTTTTAACAAAAAATTTCCCACATAATACAGATATTCAAAACTATTTTTGATTGCATAATATTTTTCACTTTAAATGATTTTTATATGTTAGGCAAAAATAATTTATACAAAATGATATTTAAGGATTAACTTTATTATGTCATTTTGTTAATAAATAATTTCAGATTTATTTGCTGTTTGTTTTGATTTGATTTTAAAATTGATTAAATTGCTAATTAATTTAAAAATATTAAAACTTAGTTTTTCATTTCATTCCATTTCTCATTACATGTGATGATTAGTTTTTTTCTGCAGATTATTTGATACCATTAATTAATTTGGTAATGAAAAATTCATTATTAGTTTTTCAGTTCTTTTTAGCTTTTCATATAAATTTGCAAACAAAAATAGTTTACTTTTATGCTTGTCAAATTAATGTTTTTAACATAAATATATTTCAGAGTCTTAAAAAGAAAAGTTGAGAGTTTTAATAAAATTTTAATTGAATTCATGTGAATTTTTTTGAAAAAAGTTTGTGATATGCAAATTTTTAATTTTTTTATGTAAAACAAATTGGAATTTGTTTTATTATTACTTATAAATGTAAAAATTAGGTTGGAATTTAAGTGCATCTTCTTCACGCATTTATATGCTTAAACTCATTTAAAATTTACGCCATTTTCACGTAAAGCATTGAAAATTTTAAACTTAGATAGCTCTTACGGGAAACTTTAAAAGTCTTTTTTGTGTTTAATACTTGGGAAGTCAAATAAATGTCATATTTTAATTATACATGATAACATTGTCATAAAAATTTATTCATAATTTGAATTACTTTTTACCATATTACTTTGATGCTTTTGATAAAGTATTCGGTAAAACATTTTTACATTTATTCTTCAGTCCGCGTTATATCTGCTTACACTGCCTACTTATAGACGAACATTATTGTATCGAAATATTCATCATTATCCATAATCATCACTACGGATAATGATGATTATGATTATAATGATATAATAATGACAATCTTTAACGCACCGTAGTGTCATTAATGTTGATGATATCAGTGCAGAAATGGTATAATGATGATAATCATTACAATGATAATAATCATTTTGATGTGCACTTTTATTGAATTTTTAAATTCTAAAAAGATCACTTTATTGCTTGATAATACCAAAACTCATTGAAAATATTAATAACTTAATGAGACATTATAATATATTTTAGAAAAC